CGGACGTACATTCGCCCTCCTCATCCCACCCACGGGCTCAGCGCGGACACGGACGTACATTCGCCCTCCTCATCCCACCCACGGGCTCAGCGTGGACACGGACGTACATTCGCCCTCCTCATCTCACCCACGGGCTCAGCGTGGACACGGATGTAGATTCGCCCTCCTCATCCCACCCACGGGCTCAGCGTGGACACGGACGTACATTCGCCCTCCTCATCTCACCCACGGGCTCAGCGCGGACACGGACGTACATTCGCCCTCCTCATCTCACCCACGGGCTCAGCGCGGACACGGACGTACATTCGCCCTCCTCATCTCACCCATGGGCTCAGCGCAGACACGGACGCAGCGCGTTTAAATTTATCCTTGAAAAGGCTATAAATAAACATATTCCCCCGACGTCTGAAACCAGCCAGGAGAACTGGGGGACGACACCCACTTAATGTGCTGCATCTATGGAGGAGCAGCGTTGTCACCCGAGCACAGGACTACAGAACACCTCATTCTCTATGTTATGGAAAATAGGAGGAAGGAGGTGTTCTGTAGTCCTGTCCTAGGATGACGACACCCACTTAATGTGCTGTATCTTTGGAGGAGCAGCGTTGTCACCCGAGGACAGGACTATAGAACACACTTCTTTCTCTGTTATGAAAAATAAGAGGAGGGAGGTAATCTGTAGTCCTATCCTATGGTGACAACACCCACTTAATGTGCTGTATCTATGGGGGGCCAGCGTTGGCACCCGAGCACAGGACTACAGAACACCTTATTCTCTATGTTATGGAAAATAGGAGGAGAGGAAGGTGTTCTGTAGTCCTGTCCTAGGGTGACAACACCCACTTAATGTGCTGTATCTATGGAGGAGCAGCGTTGTCACCCAGTACCCGGAGAGGGTCGTCCAGTGGCCAGGGCAAGGATCCAAAATTGTGCACCCCCCACTTATAATACATGCCATAGAGTTGGTGTACCACCCTGCATCTATTCTTTGCCCCCTTGCTTCTCTGCCCAGGGCAGCTGTTGGATGGGAAGATCTGGCTCACCACAGTCATATGGAAGAGAAAAGGGTCTTCACCAAACTGTTACCACAAGGTTTGAAGACCACAATTGTCTCCAATGTCTTGTATGATGGAGGATTAGGAGGACCCTTCACTGGAGACCCCTGAACTCAATAATCTGGGGGAGTGTCCACATCCGTTGGGCCATATAGTGTATCTGTTTGGAGTGGGATGGCCCTTTTACCATTTTTGGTAGAATGCTTTAATCATGAACCTCCAAGGACAGGACTGATGTTGTTTGAGAAGATCTGTCTCACCATTGGCATTCCTATCCATGCCAAAGGTGTTCAGTAGGGCTGAGGTCAGGGCTCTGTGCGGGATACTGGAGTTCCTCCACACCAGACGGGTCAAACAATGTCTTTATGGAGCTGGCTTTGTACACAGGGGACAGTCATAGGAAAGAGAAAAGGGTCTTCACCAAACTGTTACCACAAGGCTGGAAGAGCACATTTGTCTACAATGTCTTTGTATGATGGAGTATTACCAGGACCCTTCACTGGAAACACCTAAACTCAATAATCTGGGGGAGTGTCCAATTCCATTGGACCATATAGTGTATCTGTTTGGAGTGGGATGGCCCTTTTACCATTATTGGTAGAATTCTTTCATCATGAACCTCCAAGGACAGGACTGATGTTGGATGAGAAGATCTGGCTCACCACAATCATAGGGAAGACAAAATGGTCTTCACCAAACTGTTACCACAAGGTTGGAAGAGCACAATTGTCCCCAATATCTTTGTATGATGGAGTATTACCAAAACCCTTCACTAGAGACCCCTGAACTCAATAATCTGGGGGAGTGTCCAAATACATTTGGCCATATAGTGTATCTGTTTGGAGTGGGATGGCCCTTTTACCAGTTTTTGGTAGAATTCTTTAATCATGAACCTCCAAGGACAGGACTGATGTTGTTTGAGAAGATCTGGCTCACCATTGGCATTCCAATCCATGCCAAAGGTGTTCAGTAGGGTTGAGGTCAGGGCTCTGTGCGGGATACTGGAGTTTCTCCACACCAAACTTGTCAAACCATGTCTTTATGGAGCTGGCTTTGTACACAGGGGACATTCATTCTGGAACAGAAAAAGGTCTTCACCAAAGACCTTTATGGAGCTGGCTCTATTTTTCTGGAAAAGCTTCCCACAAAATGTTGGAGTATGTCTGTATCAATGTGTATCCATTCGGATGAAGGAACATTTGTGAGATCAGGTACTGATGTTGGTTGAGAAGACCTGGCCCACAATTCAATTCAACCTATAGGTGTTCGGTAGCGTTAAGGTCAGGGCTTTGTGCGGGATACTGGAGTTCCTCCACACCAGACTGGTCATCCATGTCTTTATGGAGCTGGCTTTGTGCACAGGAGCACAGTCATGGTGGAACAGAAAAGGGTCTTCACCAAACTGGTCAGCCATGTCTTTATGGAGCTGGCTTTGTACACAGAAGCACAGTCATGGTGGAACAGAAAAATGGCCTTCACCAAACTGGTCATCCATGTCTTTATGGAGCTGGCTTTGTACACAGGGGGACAGTCATGGGGGAACAGAAAAGGGTCTTCACCAAACTGGTCATCCATGTCTTTGTGTAGCTGGCTTTGTACACAGGAGAACAGTCATGGTGGAACAGAAAAGGGTCTTCACCAAACTGGTCATCCATGTCTTTATGGAGCTGGCTTTATACACAGGAGAACAGTCATGGGGGAACAGAAAAGGGTCTTCACCAAACTGGTCATCCATGTCTTTATGGAGCTGGCTTTGTACACAGGAGCACAGTCATGGTGGAACAGAAAAGGGTCTTCACCAAACTGTTACCACAAGGTTGGAAGAGCACAATTGTCTACAATGCCTTTTGCATGATGTAGTATTAGGAGGACCCTTCACTGGTGACACCTGAACTCAATAATCTGGGGGAGTGTCCAAATCCGTTGGACCATATAGTGTATCTGTTTGGAGTGGGATGGCCCTTTTACCATTATTGGTAGAATTCTTTCATCATGAACCTCCAAGGACGGGACTTATGTTGGATGGGAAGATCTGGCTCACCACAGTCATAGGGAAGAGAAAAGGGTCTTCACCAAACTGTTACCACAAGGTTGGAAGAGCCCAATTGTCTACAATGTCTTTGTATGATGGAGTATTAACAGTAGTTCATTTGGGGACGGGGAACATATTTGTACCTATAAATCATACTGTATACTTAATAAACCTTTTGACCAACCAATTGATGGCCTCTCCATCCATTATGGACCTGAGTGCCCCTTTAACGTATGGTCCTATCCGGCAATCCTTGTCATTTCTAAGCACTGAGGAGGTTAAAGTCGCGGCACGGAAGTGTGACAAATATTCGGCACAGTAGCGGCAGCATGGGAAAGGGATTATCGTGTAATTCCCATCTGACTATTTATCTCAAGTCCTTCAGTCGGCCTCTTGCAGCTCTATATTAGTCGGCGGCGGCGGTATTCGCGCTCTATAAATAGCGAGGCGGTAGACGCTAACGTCAATATATCAGATGGTTCTCTCCACCATTCCCCAGGCCTCTGGAAAGCCGAGAAGCTCATGGTAGACCCGAGGAGCCGTCATCCATCTCTTCTCCAGCAGATATCTGCAGCTGGACCTCACAGAGCCGAGGAGGGAAGTTTGTCTTGTGTCAGAAAGTTCAACTCCAAGGAATTCCAAGCAATTCTGGAATAGCTGAGACCTGGAGGGGAGCCTCCTTCACCCAGATGTGGGAAATACTGACCAACCACCACACCAGTCACACGGTCTGCTCCTCTATCAACTGGCCAAAAGGTCCTCCGGGCTGCTTACCATTCCATCACAATGAATGGCCCGGATTCAGTCACAACCATCTTCACCCACTCTGCCTTGCATCAAAAGGACATCCTTGAGCACGTTGCCTGGGCTGAGGTGATGTCATCATTCTGCTGCAAGCAGGAGTAGCATTTCCTCAGTCTCCCCTCCCCCAGTGATCAGACTGTACATTGTAACTTTGTAGAAGAAGGAGGAGTCATTTCCTCAGTCTCCCCTCCCCCCAGTGATCAGACTGTACATTGTAACTTTGTAGAAGGAGGAGTAATTTCCTCAGTCTCCCCTCCCCCAGTGTGATCAGACTGTACATTGTAACTTTGTAGAAGGTGGAAGAGTAATTTCTTCAGTCTCCTCCCCAGTGATCGGACTGTACATTGTAACTTTGTAGAAGGAGGAGGCGGCATTTCCTCAGTCCACTCCCCCAGTGATCAGGCTGTACATTGTAACTTTGTAGAAGGAGGCGGAGTCGTTTCCTCAGTCTCCTCCCCCAGTGATCAGACTGTACATTGTAACTTTGTAGAAGGAGGCGTTTCCTCAGTCTCCCCTCCCCCAGTGATCAGACTGTACATTGTAACCTTGTAGAAGGAGGAGGAGGTGTTTCCTCAGTCTCCCCTCCCCCAGTGATCAGACTGTACATTGTAACTTTGTAGAAGGAGGAGGAAGCATTTCCTCAGTCTCCCCTCCCCCAGTGATCAGACCGTACATTGTAACCTTGTAGAAGGAGGAGTCATTTCCTCAGTCTCCCCTCCCCCAGTGATCAGACTGTACATTGTAACTTTGTAGAAGGAGGAGGAGTCATTTCTTCAGTCTCCTCCCCCAGTGATCAGACTGTACATTGTAACCTTGTAGAAGGAGGAGTCATTTCCTCAGTCTCCCCTCCCCCAGTGATCAGACTGTACATTGTAACCTTGTAGAAGGAGGAGGGGCATTTCTTCAGTCTCCACTGCCCCAGTGATCAGACTGTACATTGTAACTTTGTAGAAGGAGGAGAAGGCTACAGGGTGGCACGGGTATATATATATATACGTGATTTTGCAGTTCTGGGTAGGGGGCATGTGCGCCCTGTGCCTCCATTTGCAGCCTTGGCTGTCAATCACGGGGGTCCCGGCCGGTGATCACTCCCCGGCACCCAGTGATCGCTGAGTTTTCTCCGACGGGGGTAAGACCTGCATGTAAACAATACAGATCTCTCCCATGTCAGCTCCTGCACACTGCTTTGTATGGCTCTGTATTGCAGCATGCGTACAGTGAAGCACACCCAGCACACAGTTAACCCTTTGATGACCTCTCATGTTAACCCCTTCCTGCCCAGTGCCATTAGTACATTGTCGGGGCTTTTTATTAGCACCAATCACTGTATTGGTGTCACTGGGGATGTCAGTGACACCAAATCAGTCCCCCCCCCCCCAGTGTCAGAATGTCCGCCGCAGTCCCGTTATAAGTCGCTGATTGCCGCCATTATTAGTAATAACTTTCACGTAAACCAATTAATTTCCACATATCGGGATTTTTATTTTAGCGAAGACACGGAGCGGGAGACATTTTGTTCGAAATTTATGACAAAATTAGATTTTTTTAATTCTTTTCCTGGACACGTTTTTATAGCAAAAAGTCAAAAATGTTGTTTTTTTTCCCCCAAAATTGTCGGCCTTTTTTTTCTTTATTGCGCAAAAAATAAAAACCGTCCAGGCGATCAAAGACCACCGAAAGACAGCTCAAGTCCTGGAAGAAAAGGAGGTCTTTTGGGCGCAGCGTTGCATGACCGTGCAATTGTCAGTTAACGTAAAGCAGCGCCGTAATGCAAAACATGGCCTGGTCATGAGGGGGGGGGGAGAATCCTCTGGAGTGCGAGGGGGGGAAATCCTCTGGAGGGCAAGAGGGGGAATCCTCTGGAGGGCAAGAGGGGGGGAATCCTCTGGAGGGTGAGGGGGGGAAATCCTCTGGAGGGCAAGAGGGGGAATCCTCTGGAGGGGGAATTACTCCAGAGGCAGAGGGGGGAATCCTCTGGAGGGAGAGAGGGGGGAATCCTCTGGAGGGAGAGAGGGGGGAATCCTCTGGATGGCGAAAGGGGAATCCTCTGGAGGGCGAGGAGGTTGAATCCTCTGGAGGGCGAGAGGGGGGAATCTTCTGGAAGGGGGGAAATCCTTTGGAGGGCGAGAGGGGGAATCCTCTGGAGGGCAAGGGGGAAATCCTCTGGAGGGCGAGGGGGGGGGGGGAATCCTCTGGAGGGCAAGAGGGGGAATCCTCTGGAGGGGGAAGGGGGGAATTACTCCGGAGGTGGAGGGGGGGGAATCCTCTGGAGGGAGAGAGGGGGAAATCCTCTGGAGGGCGAGAGGGGGGAATCTTCTGGAGGGGGGGAAATCCTTTGGAGGGCGAGAGGGGGAATCTTCTGGAAGGGGGGAAATCCTTTGGAGGGCGAGAGGGGGAATCCTCTGGAGGGCAAGGGGGGAAATCCTCTGGAGGGCGAGGGGGGGGGAAATCCTCTGGAGGGCAAGAGGGGAAATCCTCTGGAGGGGGGAAGGGGGGAATTACTCCGGAGGTGGAGGGGGGAATCCTCTGGAGGGAGAGAGGGGGAATCCTCTGGATGGTGAAAGGGGGAATCCTCTGGAGAGTGAGGGGGGGGGGGGAAATCCTCTGGAGGGGCGAGAGGGGGGGAATCTTCTGGAGGGGGGGAAATCCTTTGGAGGGCAAGAGGGGGAAACCTCTGGAGGGGGAGGGGGGGAAATCCTCTGGAGGGCGAGAGGGGGGAATCTTCTGGAGGGGGGGGGAAATCCTTTGGAGGGCAAGAGGGGGAATCCTCTGGAGGGCGAGAGGGGGAAACCTCTGGAGGGAGAGAGGGTGGAATCCTCTGGAGGGCGAGGGGGGGGGAATCCTGTGGGAGGGGGGGGGAATCCTCTGGAGGGCGAGGGGGGGGGGAATCCTGTGGAGGGGGGGAAATCCTCTGCAGGGGGAGGGGTTAAGTAGCCCCAGAACCCGTGTCATTAATATGTGTTGGGGTGATGCGGGATGAGGCGGCTGCCCTAATACCAGCGCAGGGCACATAAGGCGACAAGGCCTTTTGCGGTGAATCTGCGCTGAAATAGCCGCCCAACGCAGGTCTCACCGCATCTGATGTGAATGAGCCCTAAAGCAAGAGTTGAGCTTTAATATTTCAATAAAAAAGTGGGGTTCTCCTTTAAATAAAGATTTTTTTACCCCCCCCTTCTAGATCGGTGTTATCTGCTGATGATATCTCTTTCACCAAGCGAGATCCGATGGTTCTGTGAGATACAAACCCGGCTCTGTTCCTCCGGGAGGCGGAGCAGAGAATTGGGGCGATTATCCCGAATTATCCCGGCTCCTTCTACACACCTGATGGCCTTCCCAGCACTCGGGACACGGCCGCTCCTCCGACGGTCGGATGTCAGATTCCAATTCTTCGTATAGTTCTCGGGTCAGAACCCCGGCGGGGAGCTGGGAGGAAAAGTGAAACATTTTGTATCTTTTTTTACATCATCAGATTTCGATGATTCTCAGGATATACTTCTTCCTCCTCCGTGACGTAGAAAGCTTGTGCTGAGCCAACCAGAGAGCCGGGAAGCAGCATTCTCAGCAGGAGCCGCCTCCTTATTTTGCCCATTTTGCCTAAAGTGGACCTTTTAGTGACTTTCCTCCCCCAATGACATGTCGCATGTTACTGTGCGTTGTCTCAAGGCAGCCAATCGAAACGGTACTTGAGGTCCCAAATGTCAGCAGACACGCCCATTCAAGAGGATTCTTCAAGAAGGTCGGAATTTCACCCCCCTTCCAGTCCGGACGCTTCCCCCCCTTCCAGTCCGGACGCTTCCCCCCCCTTCCAGTCCGGACGCTTCCCCCCCCTTCCAGTCCGGACGCTTTCCCCCCCCTTCCAGTCCGGACGCTTTCCCCCCCTTCCAGTCCGGACGCCTTCCCCCCCCTTCCAGTCCGGACGCTTTCACCCCCTTCCAGTCCGGACGCTTTCCCCCCCACCCCCTTCCAGTCCGGACGCTTCCCCCCCCCTTCCCAGTCCGGACAAGCTTCCAGTCCGGACGCTTTCACACCCCCTTCCAGTCCGGACGCTTTCACCCCCCTTCCAGTCCGGACGCTTTTCCCCCCTTCCAGTCCGGACGCTTCCCCCCCCTTCCAGTCCGTCGCTTCCTCGGACGCTTCCCCCCCCCCCTTCCAGTCCGGACACTTCCCCCCCCCCTCCAGTCCGGACACTTCCCCCCCCCCTCCAGTCCGGACACTTCCCCCCCCCTCCAGTCCGGACACTTCCCCCCCCCCCCCCCCTCCAGTCCGGACACTTCCCCCCCCCCCCCCCCTCCATCCAGTCCGGACACTTCCCCCCCCCCCCCCTCCAGTCCGGACACTTCCCCCCCCCCCTCCAGTCCGGACACTTCCCCCCCCCCCCCTCCAGTCCGGACACTTCCCCCCCCCCCCCCCCCCCCCCTCCAGTCCGGACACTTCCCCCCCCCCCCTCCAGTCCGGACACTTCCCCCCACCCCCTCCAGTCCGGACACTTCCCCCCCCCTCCAGTCCAGACACTTTCCCCCCCCCCTCCAGTCCGGACACTTCCCCCCCCCTCCAGTCCAGACACTTCCCCCCCCCCCCCAGTCCGGACACTTCCCCCCCCCCTCCAGTCCGGACACTTCCCCCCCCCCCCCCCCTCCAGTCCGGACACTTTCCCCCCCCCCCCTCCAGTCCGGACACTTTTACCCCCTTCCAGTCCGGACACTTTTACCCCCTTCCAGTCCGGACGCTTTCCCCCCCCCCCTTCCAGTCCGGACGCTTTCCCCCCCCCCTTCCAGTCCGGACGCTTTCCCCCCCCCCCCCCCCCTTCCAGTCCGGACGCTTTCCCCCCCCCCTTCCAGTCCGGACGCTTTCCCCCCCCCTTCCAGTCCGGACACTTCCCCCCGCACCCTTCCAGTCCGGACACTTTCCCCCCCCCCTTCCAGTCCGGACACTTTCCCCCCCCTTCCAGTCCGGACACTTTCCCCCCCCCCTTCCAGTCCTGACACTTTCACCCCCCTTCCAGTCCGGACACTTTCCCCCCCCTTCCAGTCCGGACACTTTCCCCCCCCCCTTCCAGTCCTGACACTTTCACCCCCCCTTCCTAATATATAATGGAAAATAAAATAATAGAATAAGATAGGGAATAAAAGAATAGACTAGAAAATGAAAGAATGGAATAGAATAAAACACATTAGAATAGAATGGGGACAGTTGATGTAAGGAGGCACTCTGACTCTGTGATTGGGGACTCTTTTGTGATGGGGGGCCTTTGATGTGTAGGGGGGGCTTTCATTTAATGGGGGACCCCTGACATGAAGAGGGGACTCTGATGTGAAGTTACTTCCATCTTCCCAGGCTCAAGTAATACTTGGGGGCTTCTAGATTTTGCAGAATTTTAAGGGAAGTCCTAACTGAAGAGAGACTAAGAAACGCTTCTCTATGACCTAACATAAAGGTTGTCTGGGAACATGCTGAATGCTGATTGGGTTAGAGAGCCAGTGACAACTTCATGTAGGAGTCAAAGGCCCCCTAGTGGACACTATATAGGAATATATGGAAACTACAGCCCAGAGATATGCAACTCAAGCAGAGGCTCCACTTTATTACTCTCCCTCTGTGGTCACCTATGACGTGGCGAGGCATCAAGTATGAAGTTCTGCATCGCTCCACCCAAAAAAAAGACAAAATAGTTTTTCTTATGTTTCCAGAAGTGAGGCGCAGAGAGCCGAGGAATGTATTATATTAACAGTATGCAGCCGTTCCTTCCAAATCACGGCAAGAATGATTGGAGAGAGAAGACCGAGGAACGTCCAAGGTCAGCTGCAAGTCATGTTCATACATCAGTGCGATGGCAACTCCACTGCCCTTCACTGCCAAGAGATCTTTGTTTTTCAGCAAAATCACAAAACAGAGAAATATTTGGAGGATCCAACGGGTCAGAGGATAATAATGAGCATGCCGAAAGTGCTGTCAGAATTCTATTTCTCTGAAAAGGCCGAGTGCAGCCAGTGGAAGGCAGATGACGCAGGTTTTTGAATCGCTAAGTGAATAAAAGATCAGCGACAAAAATGCCAAAGTAACTTATATAGCAGAGGTGATAAATTCAAATTCAAGGAGGTCCGGATGCTAAAATGTTCTTCCAGCTGAGGTCCGATTAGAACCTCCTTCCATAAGGTGTCTCATCAGAATGCCCCCATGCATCAGGTGTCACCATACATGAGGTTCCCCCACCAGTGTGCCCTCATATTAGGTGTCCCCATCAGGGTGCCCTCATACATAAAGTGTCCCCATCAGGGTGCCCCCATACATAAGGTGTCCCCATCAGGGTACCTCTTACTTCAATTGCTCCCATCAGAGTGCCCCCATACATCAGAGTGCCCCCATACATAAGGGGTCTCCCTCAGGGTACTTCTTACTTCAATTGCTCCCATCAGGGTACCTCTTACTTCAATTGCTCCCATC